AAAAGATAAATCTCCAACAATAATTATAATTTCATAAATTTCCAAAATGGTAGTGATATTACATATCCAACTCCACTCTCTTCATCAATAGATACATTCATTTTATCTTTCAAAATTCAACACCTTCCCCTTTCGTTCATAGTTCAAACACTAATGGTTTCCAATAAAACATCATTTTCTTTCAAAAACACATTAAAGAAGAATTTTCTAATATTTTAACACAACTCAACAATATACTCATTCCCATAACATTTATCAAGAACCCATTTGAAAACCCCTATTTTATATTTCAAAATCAAAATCTTGAATCAAATCCCCAACTCCTAAATCACAATACTTTACAAGGAGCACATAACAAAGCTAAGAATCATACAAGGAGGTTGAAGAAGTCCACACCTCAATAACAGAAAAAGAAGAGAGCAAGACCCAACTCTAGTTGAAGTCAAAAATGAAAGTTTCACTAATTAAAACGTTCACCTTTACAAGCTCTACACTTTACTTCAAAGCATTAGGGCAGTGAGATCAACGGATTTGGGTATATTTGAGTATTTAGGTAGGAGCTAAAGAGAGAGAGTGTGTGTGTGAAGAAATTAGGTCTTCGAATGTTTTAGAGAGAGAGAGTAAGTAAAAAGTGACAGAAAAGACTTTTCCTTAATCTGATATATGCACAGACCGCTCGAGCAACTGAATTATCGCTCAAGCATCAAACACAAGAAAGTGACACTGCTTGAGCGACAAAAACATGGCTCGAGTACACAATGACCCCTTCTTAGAAGTTTTACAGACTGCAGAAGACCACTCAAGCGAAGAAAAAATCGCTCGAGCGAAGATCACCTTACTCTCAGTAGTTTTGCAGACCAGCAAAAGTACTGAGAGACCCCAAAGATCACTCGTGTGACCAAAACAATGCTTGAGCGAACAAGAAACAAACAACAATTCTTTTGAAAAACTAACTCCCAACATATTCACAACACAACAAAACCCAAATAACAACAAGATAAGAAGAAGTATAGACAACGATAAAGTGTATCAGATCCCGGATCCAAGAACATGAAAGGGTCGAGTCTAACCCAAGCCTCTATATGACCGCTCGAGTAGTCAAATGGTCGCTCAAGCATAGAAATGAGACTCCTAGTATTTTCACTGTAGCTCTACAAAACTTCTGAGACCTTGCGTTCACCACTTGAGCGATGGAAAGTTCACTCAAGTGGTTTATTTGTTTTGTGTTCATAGCTCGAGCAATGGAAAGTTCGCTCGAGCAGTCTGTTTATGACAACAATTTTAAAAGTCGATCTAAACATCATTTTCTCTCACTTTTTCAGACCCTTTCTCTCTCTAACACCCATTTTCGAAACCTTAACCCTAAAACACTTGACTTCTCTAGTTTTTACCTTAGATCCACCCTAGATCCTTCAAGAGGTTGAAAGGAAAGCTTAGATCAAGAGTTCTATCAATCGTTTTGCGATTTCATCAAAGTTGGAGTTGGGCTTTCATCTTTTGTCTTCATTTTTGAGGTAGAAGTACTTTTTAACTAGTTATATATTTGATTTGAAACACATATGTGGTATTTTCATTATATTAAGATATATATATATATATATATATATGATATGTGTTGTGTTAGCAAATGGGTTTGATGAAAAAGGGGCTGCGCCTCATGATTTTGGAAGAGTTTATATACATTTTGATGATTATTGTTGTTGATGATAAGAATTGGTCTTTTAATCATGAAAGAGCAAAAAAAACTAATTTTCCTAATACCTTAGCTTTCAAATTGGTTCAATAAAAAGGGGTTTTTGTTCAATTAGTCTCTAACACTTGAAATTTGGTGTATTGACTTGACTTTGATGTTGTAACATGAGATTTTGAAACTTTTTAACACAACCTTGAGATGGTGATGGTTGTGAATTGGAGAATCTTTTGTTGATGTGTAAATTATTGGATTGTTGTGAATCAAAATTACCATAGGGAAATTGAGATTTGAAAATTCATGCATCATATACATTTATAATGATACCTTGTAACTCTTAAAAGTTGATGTATAGAAAGGGTTGGAAGGGGGTCAATAGTACATGAGTTCGGGTAGTGAGTCGGGCTTTGGTTTGAGTTGTGTAATGTATATTAGTACCCACGTAGGGAGTCAAGGTGCTGACTTACCTTGTCTTGTGCATATCGTTAGACAAATGAAGGACAGATTTCAAGGTGTCCACGAGCCTCCCGTTTATAGAGTTGGCGAATGTGGGAAGCATGATTTTGGGTGTCTATGAGCCCGTCGTTTCAAAAGTCATCAAATGTGAAAAGGAAAGGTCTTGGGTGCCCATCGCCCCGCCATTTTGAGAGTCGGCAAATGTGGAACCTACTTTCAATATATAAATCTATATTTATATACATGTATGGTACGCGGCTCTTGTATCGGGACGTCATAGCATATTTACATTCCATAGTTTGGTTATGATATGTTGTTGACATCAAGCATTTCACATCATGGCTTGATAAAGGAAAAGGCTTGGGTTTTTTCATCTCTAGCATGACATGATCATATATTTTTCGATTAATTATATAACATGTTAATGGTATTTCCTATTGGGCAATTGCTCAACCCAAAATTAACAACTTTCAAGAGATGATGCTGTAATGATACCCAAGTGATTAGCATGAGATGCGTTTTTGGATGGGAGCACAGAGACTCTATAAATGCAATGAGGCCTTGGGGCTATTTATTTATTTATTTTTTGTGTGTGGAGATAGAACTCCATCTTTTGTGTATTCAAGAAAAATTCTTGAAAAGATGCAAGCCCTTTGGGCATTATGTTTTGTGTTATCTGTTGCGTTTTGAACTATTTATTCTGTCGATGAATGTACTTGACAATAATGTAATCTCTCGAATAATTCAACGAGGAAGAGATAACTTTTGAAACTATATATGAAATGGATTTATTTAATGGTCTCACTTATTATAAATCAAATTATTTTGAACTAATGTTATGAAAAAGATGATAATTTTCGGGGCATTACAACAACAGTAAAGAAACCATTGGTGGTAAACCAAAAATCTATGTAGGAAATGAATGAAATATCACAAAACTCTAGAAATGTAAAGGAGGTCATCAGATCATTGTCGGAGCTTGGCTGAAAATCTCCTAGAAAATGTAACCACCTTTAAACTTATCACTTTCAAACAAAAATTATATTAAGGCCCTATTTGGGGACTATATTTTTTACTTAAAAAGTTAAAAAAATCATTATAAATTATCATAACACTATATTTTTTTACATATATTTTTATAAAAAATAAAAAATAAAAAATAAATTGAAATAGTCAATTTTCAAAAGAAACCTAAAATACATTTGAGTACATAAATAACTAGTAGTCACCCATGCAATGCACGAGGATTTTAGAAAGTCAATAATCACTAAAAAAAAATTTGCTATTTGATTGTATTTCTTAATATTTTTATTTAGTTTGTGTATATAAATCTTACTTCACATCATTAAAAATATTTAATATTTCACATTATTGAAAATTTTTAAAAACTATCATACATTAAGTAAATCATCACATATATAATAGCTAATTTATCTAAGAATTAATTCAGCCGACCAAAAGTAGAGTAACAAAGGCATATTATAATTAATCAAAATGACTAATATATTAAATAAAAGTAACAATAATTTTGTTTAATCAATAGTAGGTATTATATTAATCATCCCATATAATATAATAAATTAAAATAAAATTAATTTTAATTCCCATTATATGGTTAAATTTTTTTTACATGCTATTTGTTTTTTGGTTATATTGATTCATTAAACATATATAGGTTTGGAATGATTAAAATAAAAATTAAAAAAAAAAAGGCTTAGAGATATTAAACTTGAATCGACAAACATAAAGAATATAAATATTTAAATTATTCAAAAAAAATTAACATTTTTAATATGAGATATCTTCTATTTGCTCAAACTTTGAATCTAAATAATAATAAAAAAAAATTAAAAAGAGAAGAAATTTGTGGTTTAGTTATCAAAGGAAATGAGTACCTACAAATAAATTTAATCATGAGTCATTTCAACAGGATATCAATAATAAAAAATCAACTGATAAATACATTTAAAGTATAAGCTCATATCTAATAAATTTTGATGTGTTCTTCATTTTTAATCTAACATCTGTACAAAAAAAAAATTAAACACAAATAATCAATAAGTGAGAGAGTTACAAATTGATAATAGTAGTACTTTTATAAAAATTTAAAAAAAAATCTCAATTAAATGACACATTATTAACAAAAAGAAAGAAAGAATGAAAAATACAGATTGTAACAAATTTTTTTTAAAAATAAATTATTTTGTGGTTGAAATTTGAATAGTTGTCTTTTTATTTTATTTTTTTATATTTTTATCTCTATATCTTTGTTGTTCATATCTAAATATTTATCATTTTATTTAAATATATATAATCTTTTTAGCTTTTGAGATTTAAATAATTGATAAATGATTAAAATTAAAAAAAATATGAGGAGAAACTTGAGAGGTGACACCTGATAAGAGAATCCATAAGAATTCAATATTAAAATTTTTTATCATATTCCACTGCAATTACTTATATAGCCTCCGTTTGGGAAGTGAGTTGGCTTTTTGGCTTTTTAGTTTTTTTGGCTATTTTAGTCTGGGCTAAAAAGCTTGGTTTGGGAAGGACTTTTTGGCTTTTTGGCTTTTTTGGCTTTTTTTGTGAGAGAAGAATGTAATGATTATGGGTTGGATGTGATGTTTTGTTTGTTATGGCTAAAATAGCCTATTTTGTTTTTTGTGACTAAAATAACCAAAAAAGCCTGAAAACCATCTTGCCAAACAGAGGCATAGTATAGATAGATAGATGCTTGCACGTCATTTTTTAGCAAAATTTTGTATAAAAATTGTTGTAAACATTTTTCAAAATTGAACAGAGGCATAGTATAGATAGATAGATGCTTGCACGTCATTTTTTAGCAAAATTTTGTATAAAAATTGTTGTAAACATTTTTCAAAATTGAAAGATGACATTACTTTACTATGGTTAGTGCAAGTAGACCTAATCATTTGTGACGTCGTGATCATAAATCTTCCTAAAATTTCTTAAAAAAAGGCAAATTTGATAAAATGAAAGTCGGATTTGGAATCCCCTTGTGCTTTTCCTCCACCTTGAAGCCTCAATTTCTGTGTCATTCCTACTTAACCCCCCCTACTCCACTTCCAGGGCAACCACTACCACCACCCATCTTCCACAGTCGGCCTTGTCTCCCGATCCCCAGGCATACACCAATTACTTCCTTCTTTGCATCATCAATGGCTTCATCTTTCAAGCCTGAGCAAGCTAGAGTCCCCCCGGCCTGCCAATTGTCCATCCCTCCTGTCTCCAAGGCATCTCTCTCTCTCTCTCTCTCTCGTCATCATCTTTAATAATTCCTCTTCTTTTTTCTTTCTATGTCCCAATTTGGGTATGTGTGTGTATATCTTTTTCAGTGCTAGATGAATAGAACTTAATTTCATAGATGGGTTTCAGTTTAAGATTGGATTGTGCCAATTGTTAGTCACTGCCGACAAGGAGAGGAACATTGCTCACGCTCGTCAAGCCATTGAGGACGCTGCAAAAAGGGGTGCCCAACTTGTGGTCTTGCCTGTAACTTCTCTCTCTCTCTCTCTCTCTTAATTTTCTTTGAATGAATATTGGCTTTAAAGCCCTTTCTTCAAATCTAAATTGGACTGATTGCAAAATTACATTACTCCTCGTTTTAAGAACAAATTATAGCACACCTCACTTGTATACACAACCGATGTGCTATGAAAATCAACCCGTTACGAAGAAAAACAAATTTTTGAAATTTGAAGAAATTATCAAAATTTAAATCAAAATCTGAAGTAATTCAATAGAAGTAGGTGTATAAGGGCAGTTTGGAATCGGAAGGGCATTCTTGGAAAAGAAAAAAGTGTGGCAGTTAACACCAACTCAGGTGTGTACTTTATATCTATCTATCTATCTATCTATCTGTCTATTCTAATATATAAAGTGAAGGTTGTGGGTGCTGTTGACACATTTGTGTCTCATATTTTCAGTTTTCCCATAACCCCTGTAGTTGATGTTTATGATGTTTATGTAAAAGAGGAGTACTAGACTTGAAATCAAGAGCACGACTTTGGCAAAGCAAATCCTTACCACTTGAGTAACAAATACTAGATGTGTATTTATCTTTATCATAATTAGTTCAATGGTAAAACCTTAGCCTAATAATCTTGAGGGTATGGGTTAAAGTCTTGGACAATCACTTTGTGTATTATGCCAAAGGTTAAGTGTGTACGCAATCTTTTCTCTTCCAAACACACATTAATGTGTACTAATTAAGCGTTATATTTTTTAGGGTAAATTAAAATATATCCCTTGAGATTTGCTTAAAATACGAATTGTTCCCTATGATTTGGAAAATTATAAATACTTCCATGTCAGAATTTTTTATTTAGCAGAATTAATTAAAAAAGTGAAATTTCTAACTATTCACCTATACTATAATAAAATTATCTGAATTATTAATTGAAATAAAATTTTGAAATTATTAAAAACTATTAATTAACTTGATAATTTATTAATAAAAGAATCTATTTGTTATGAAATTAAAAATCTGAGAGGGCATAATGTAATTTCTAGAACCACATGGGATAATTTGTAATTTAAGTAAACCTCAGGAGGTGTGTTTGTAATTTATCCTTTTTTATATTATTGTTATATTATTACGTTTTTTTGAATTGCACATGCATTACTAGTCTGTCTATATGTGAAGGCTCCGGATGATGGTGTTGACGTCTCATTTTGGGAATGCCCCTATAATTGGTGCTTATGTAAAAATTATATTAAGAGGAGAATGAGACTCGAAACCGGGATCATAGGTTTAATAGATAAGATATTTACCACTTAGGCAACACATACTAGGTGTGCATCTCTCTTGCAAATATTCTTATGATCTCTTGTACTAATATAAAGTGAAGGCTGAAGTTGGTGTTGACTGTCACAAAGTTTTTATTTCCCAAAATACCCCCAATTTTCCTAAATTTGTCAGTCTTTTATCCAACTACTTCTTAGATCTAACTATTTGTAAATGCATACTGTATGCCCACCTCTAGAAAGTCTATCATCTAATAAAAAGAAGGCATGTGAATTGAGGCCGAATATGAGTCATACCTCAAACTTAAAATGTTGATGTTGTCTTCTCAAAGCATGCGATTTTGATTCATGAATGTGTGTTTTGTTATGTCAGGAAATATGGAATAGTCCAATTTCAAATGATAGCTTCCCTGTTAATGCTGAGGACATTGATGCGGGCGGTGATGCATCTCCTTCAACAACTATGTTGTCTGAAGTTGCTTCTCTATTGAAGATCACAATAGTTGGTGGCTCTATACCAGAACGATGTGGTGATAAGTTGTACAACACATGCTGTGTTTTTGATACTGATGGGAAGCTTAAAGCTAAACACAGGAAGGTAATGCTTTGTTTATTTTCTCGTGCGTTATGTGCACATATAGATCAGATGGTCATTCTCGTAAAGAAGATTTTGTTTTTGAGCCAAACCTTTAAAAACACATAACTCCACCAGAAACTGGGGCTACTTATTAATTGGCCCCAGTGTCCTTCCTAGGGATAGTTAGGCTGATCAGGTAAGTTACACCATTTGATTTTTCACACGCACTTGTTTGTTTCCTTCATAATTGGAATCTTCAAATAAGCTGCCCAACATTGTGCAACTTTTTTTTATTGGTATTGGCTATTTACTCATATAAGCTTTTGCATTGGGAGGGCTCATTCCAGTTTGTAACTATCACATACATAGTTTAGAAATACTGCTTTCGATTTGGGGCCTCAATTCTGCTTTGAAACAGTTAATGACACGTCTTGAACATGTAGTATTGAATTAAAAGAAAATATTTCAGATTTCCTTTGTGTTGTTTGAAGACCTCTTTTTTTTTTTTGGGTAGGTAGAAGATTGCATCTCATTTGTTGGTTGGGCAATAAAATTTCTGATAGGCCTGTGTAATTGCAGATACACCTTTTTGATATTGATATTCCTGGCAAGATTTCCTTTCAGGAATCTAAGACTTTTACTGCCGGGGAAAATCCCACAGTTGTGGACACAGGTTTGCACGTATTTCTCCCTTAGTCATCACTTCCTAGCATTGATTCTTCTCACGCATGGATATCTAGGTGTAATGCAAGACACAAAATACCTTACTATGATGTTTTTCATGTATTGGTTTGTTTTTGCTATTATGCTCTTTTAATTGGCCATTATATAACCTAGAACACTTGCCCAAATGTTTATCAATATATCGTAAAAATGTCTCATAAATCAAATTCTTCTGAGCATACAAATGCCTCGTCTTTAGTGTTAGTTATTTTTCCTTGCATTGTATTCTTTCTTGAACCTGTTTTTGTAGCTTTTAATCACGTAATTCCAATTTGGGTTTTCTATTCTGTAGTTGCTAATGTTTAAACTTTAAATTGCCTTGTGGTATCTTTTTTTTCTTATCGTATGTTGTCGACAAATGGTTGATGAGATGCTCTTGGGAAGATGGTAGGCACTGAAACGGCATAAGAGAGGTGAGAGCGGGGGCAACCTCAGGCAGAGGGGGGAGAATGGCACGCCTCCTGAGTTGCCAGAGATAATAGAGTGACACTAAGGGACAGGTGCTTCAATCCCTTGGTTCAACAATTTGAATGTTTCCCATGGCCAGATCATAGGGTTGTAGCATAGGTGATAATGGATAGGTATATTAAGCCTTAAGGATTGTGTTGTGAGTTTCAGTTGATAGGTATGATACACCTGTTGGAGTATGATATCTTGATCAACAGTTTGCCTTTTATTGAGGCCTATCTCTCTTTAAGATTGGTCAAGGTACAAGCTACGTTACATGGACTCTCTGAAACTTGGGAGGTAACCGTGTTGACACGACATGACATGGGTACGGGTGCGGGATATAGCCGGGATACGGCTCTTTACAAATGGATACGACTCTATTTTGCCCTAAATGCAGAAGAAACAAAAGAGAGAGACGAGCGTGGCCCCTTCGACTTCGTCTTCGATGAGCACCACTGTAGACGAGCTTGGATCTATCTTCTCTCTCTCTCTCTCTGTTTTCTCTTCTCTTCTCTCTATTTTCTTTTCTCTTCTTTTCTCTCTGATTTATAATTTGTTCTCTCTCACTCTCTGTTTTCTCTTCTCCTCTCTCTATTTTCTCTTCTCTTCTCTTCTCTTTGATTTATAATCTATTCTCTCTCTCTCTCTCTCTCAAAAGATATTTAATTAATATATATGTCAATTATAATATATATATGTCATATATCAATAAAAATAACTATTTATAAATCATATTTATTTACAATATATATATTTCAATTAAAAATAGAAAAATTATATAGATAAATTAAAAATATTATCAATAAAAATAATACATAAGATAAAAAATATGAAATATACTTAAAAAATAACTATTTACTTCATCTTCATATAATAAATATATTTAAAAAATAATTATTTAACGTATCGCTGTACCCATATCCAAATTTGAATCTATATCCACGTATTCTTAATTTTTAGTTTTGAAGTGTCTGACTCCTAGATACGCACCCGCACCGGATACCCGCATCCGAGTCCATATAACGTAGGGTACAAGTCCTCTTAAGAGAGGTGGTGGTGACTCTGGCGAGTCACGTTGACCACCTTTGAACTGTAGCCTTCAAACCAAAAATTCTCTACTAATAGTAATCTAGAGCGGGGCCATGGGTCGCTCGGGTGTCCCATGGCTAAGCACCAACCCCGAGGGGTTTTTTAAGCCTTACTCTTGGTCTAGGTTAGCATGGAGTAACATCAGTTTCATTTTTTTGGGAAACCAAGTGTATAGGAAACCAAAGGAAACCACTTGAGTGAGTCAAGATGATACCGAGTGAAAGTCATGGAGGGGGCATCCTTGGCTAGAACATGAGTGTGCCTTATTATCTTGGAGGGGCGTGCCTTATTTTCTTGGAGGGACAAGTGTTAGCATATTATATTAGCCGAAAGGTACACTAGGGTCTGTCTGTAATCATTTTATGCACTCAGGGATAGCACTCAGGTTCTAGCAGAGGATCCTTGATTAAGCTGGGGATACTACAACCAGCCTGGAGAGCAACTTGTTCCTGAATGCCTAAGTCCAAAGCTAAGGCATTGCATGTGCTTGCCTTGTCTAGCATAGTTTGCTTTTGGAGGGTAGTGCTTGGAGATGACTGATTGGGCCACACGTCACTTGATGAGGCTAGAATGTGGCGTCAGACTTGACGTGGTGACGTCATTGGGAGCCAGATGTTCTATAATGACTAGGTAAATTTGAACTTTTAAATATTGTATTAGAGGCTTATGTAACTTAGAATAATTATAATAGAGTCCTCCGAGAAGTTGTTGTACTTCAAACTAAACCTTCGTCGGTTACTTTTTCTGTGTGACTAGTCGTTTTAGTTTGCGTGCACTGATTTCCGAGCTGACCTGGGACCCAAGAGACAGACTCTTTAGACTCAATGATGATATTACAATGTTGATACAGATTGTTTTACTAATTTAGAATCATTATGACGAATTGAGAGTTTTAGTGCATAGAACATCTCGATTTGTGTGCATAGGGGCCCAATTTGGTTGGTATATAATATTTTTGTATTAATTATATGTTTTCTAATTTATTTGGATGATTATGAGAAATTGGAGATTTAATTGTACAGAAAATAGTTCAAAACTGTATTATTTTTGCACGAAAATTGGAATTTTTTTAGGGGAAACTTGAATGTGTTGGGAGTTATTTTTGACAAAAGATAACCTTTCGCTCTCTCTCTCTCTGCCATATGTCAACTTTTTTCTCTTTTGGTGCCTTTTCTTACACAAACTTACATCACTTTTTCCTTACATGGATTGAGAAAGATGTCTTAATATTTGTGATAAGTTTGTTTATATATTATATATATATACCTGAGACAATTATGGCTGATAATGGGAGGTTATGATTGCTTTGTCCTTACTTTGATAGGATTTGGACCCTTGGATGATGAGATTAGGTTATGGACTAATGCAGGATCAAAAGTTTATGTATATAATTTTTTTTTTCACACTTAAAACACACTTTACAACCAAAAATTCAGATCTCTCTCTCTCTCTCTCTGTCTCTCTCTCTTCTTCTCCAAACTTCATTGTTGGAGCTTCCGTGGCATGCCTTGATCTTCGTTAATAAGGTTTAAGGCTTTCCTATTGTACTGAAGAGCCTTGAGAATGATTAGTTAGTGATTTAAGTGAACTTTGGTGAGATTAAAGTTATTTGTGAAGAACACTTGAAGATCCTAGAGTTGCTTGAAGTTTGGAGCAAGAACAACACTTTCTACCTTCATTTCTTGCATTATTTGCTAAAGCTTCTATGAGGTGGGGACTAAGTTATTTCTTAAAATGCATGTTTTTTTTTTTTTTTTTTTGAATAATATAACATGATTAGAGAGTGTATTTCAAGATTATAAATTGTTTCCATATTCTATCCTTCCTGTTTCAAAAGTCTTCGATGGAATGCTCTCTATTTAGTTTTTGGAGATTATTTGAAAAGATTACCATGCCTTGGGTATTTCATGCCAAAAATACATTTGAATTGGAATGTTGTTTTTGTATCAAAACCCTAAAAAGTGTATTATATTATTTGTGAGATTAGATGAATAATCATATGCATATTGCTATACTTTGCATGAATTTGAGAAATTAGAGAATATTGAATTAGGGCTTTTGATCTTCTAATGTTTGAAAGTGCACTCCTTGTCGTATTTAATATTTTTGGTATAAAGATCATGTTGATTAGCTAACTTTGAGAAAATGATAAAATATTAAATTGTATGAAATTTGGGAAAAATAGTGCAGTTAGCTTGATAACGGTATAATAAGGCTTAATTGAAAAGATGGCATGATTTAGAGTTGATTTGTTATTTTGGTCATATTTTTACAACATGGGGTTACTTACTAGTTTTACTAGTTTGAGTATTTTAATGATATTTTCATGCGTTATGTTAATTAAATAAGTTTGTTGAATTATTTAATACATTTGAAGGTATTGAGAGCAAAATGGTCTTTAGGATAAAATGGGATTGTGTCGAATTTATCATTTAGGAAATCAATTTATAAAGGTATAAGGGTAAATTGGTAATTTGGACCCTTGGGGTTACAATGACAAAATAATTTTGGAGTTAGATATTATTCCATATTATAGCCATATGAGCATTTTGTTAAATGACTAGAAAGATAAAATATGTGAAATCTGCCCAAGTGTTGGAATCTAAGAAGCACGGACGCGGGGCACGACACGGACACGTAAATTTAAAAAAAATAGGGAACACGACATGCTGGGGACATGCTCAATATATAATTAAATTTATTTATTATATGTCATAAAATAAAAATAAAAAAAATCATTGAAAGGTAATAAAAAATCAAAATAACACAAACTAAAATAATAATAATTTTTTAATTTTTAATTTTTTTTTTTTTATTGATTTAACATCATATATCATTCACAAATAACATAAAAATTGCACTCCATCAATACATAACATGTCATTCTTATCTACCAGCCATCATTTGTTAAAAAAATGGGTTACATTCAACCAAAAATGATAAAGAAAAAAATAATCAAATAGAGAGAAACATAAGCAAATTAATTTTCTTTATTAAATGGGGCCAAAATGTAAAATTAAATAGTGCCAAATTTTCTTTGTTCTTCATATTTTTCTCTCTCGTTCTGGCTCTCTCTTTCATAGGTTACATTCACCCCCAAAAAATCGAAAACAAAGGTAGAGTATCGAAGAAGGAGGGAGGGAGGGAGGGAGGGAGGGAGGAGAGGGAGAGGGAGAGAGAGAGAGAGAAGAATAAAGAAAAAAAATCGAAAAACAGAGATTGAGAGAGATCGAATAAGAAAATCGAAGAAGAAGAAGAAGAAAAAGAAAAAGGAGAAGAGAAGAGAGAAAGGACTGATGGCTGCTGTTCACTATCATTGAAGGTATGTTTATTCTTCTTTTCTGTTCTTCCATTCTTCTTCTTCTTCTTCTTCTTCTTCTTCTTCGATTATGTTCTTCTCTTCTCCTTCTT